AGAGGCGTGGCAGCAGCGGTCCACTCCCATAGCCTCCGCCGCCACGAGCTGCGCCCCCAGAGCCTCCACCCCTGCCAGCTCCACCCCACCCGCCTCCACCACCCCCGCCGCCTCCACCACCCTGGCCACCTCCACCACCCCCGCCACCTCCACCACCTCCACCTCCGGTGCAACCTCCATCGCCTCCACCCCCGCTACCACCACCACTAGCGCCACCCCCACCTCCCTTACCCCCCTTGCCCTTGCCACTGCGGCGCCTCTCACTAGAAGCAGACGCAGCGCCAACTTCCTCAGCACCAAGGAGGTCGACAGCAGCAGGAGTCGCAACTGAGGGTATGAGAGGTCAGGGAGCACACCCTTCAAAGAAGGGGGAGCGGGGAGTGCCACGAGAGGCAGCGACAGCTATAGTACTGGTCTCAGCCTCGAGAAGGTACTTCTCTAGCGAGGCAAGCGTGAGCTCAGTGGGGTCAAGGGCGAGAAAGTGGTCCCTAACTGTGCGGAGGGAGTCCGGGAGGCGGGTGACAAGGAAGTACAGGGTGATATAAAGCGGGGGGGGGGGGGGGGGGGGGGGGGGGGTTCTCTTTGAGGAAGGCCGGCTTGAGAGCGGCGCGGTAGCGAGTCTCACTAGAGCGAAGGTGGGTCATGAGACCAGCAACAGTGCGGAAATCTGCGAGCTCAGGAAAGAGGTACGGCAGAATGAGGCGGCCTAGGCCAGCAGTAGCTGGGGAGGAGTAATGAGCGACAACTGTGTCATAGAGGTCTTTGGCTGTCTTATGCTGGCCAAAATGGGCTCTGTCAGCTAGCGGGAGGTGATTGCGGACAGCAAGGCGGGCAGTAGCGTCACGCGTGAGCCACTTCGACTGATCTGAGCGGTCGGCTGTAGCAGGTGGGGCGAGGAGGGATCCTGACGTATGTTCTATCAATGAAACTCCATCCCTAGCCTCGCTCTGCAGGTACAGCTGGAGATCGTCGAGCCAAACGTCAAAGCTAATCGGGCGACCCTCCGCATCAAAGCTAAGTACCGAAATGGTGGCCATAGTAGCAGTAGCAGCAGCAGCAGCAGCAGTAGCAGCAGCAGTAGTGCCAGCAGTAGCAGTAGCAGCAGCAGAAGGGCAGCGCGGCTCGGGCAGGGCGGCGCGGCGTGGGCAGGGCGGCGCGGCGCGGGCAGGGCGGCGCGGCTCGGGCAGGGCGGCGCGGCTGGGCAGGGCACAGGGCAGCAGCGCGTGCGGCAGCAGCAGCTCAGGCGCAGCAGCGCGGTTGGCAGCAGCTGCGCAGCAGGAGCAGCGTATGCAGCAGCAGTAGCAGCGCGTGCGGGTAGGGGCGCTCGCGGGCAGGCAGCACGCGCGAAGGCAGGGGGCTCGCGCGGGCAGGCAGCGCTCGCGGGCAGGCAGCGCGTGCGCGGGCAACAGGCAGCGCGCTAGCGGGCAGAAACGTGCGTGCAGCAGGCAGCGCGCTAGGGCAGGCAGCGCGCGTGGCAGCAGGGCAGCGCGACGCTGTACGGGCAGGGCAGGGCAGTGCAAGGGCGCTCCGGGCAGGTTCGAGCGGATCGTTTTGGTGGGCCCTAAAAAAACACTAACCGTGTTCCTGCTCTGAAACCATGTCGAGAGAACTGTGCAGGAATGATGAATGACTAGCAACAGGGAGATACAAGTATGAAACCCTAACTGGGGTTGTACTCTATACTGAGCACCTCACTGTAGCCTAGCAGAACTAAGAACATACAAATATGTTCTGACAAATATCACTCTTCAGAATCTTACATTGTTTCCCCACCCACCGCTTTTCTCCATGCAGGCTTCTTTCCATCCGCGACAGGACCACCATTCAGAACGCCATTGGCGAGTCTGTGTGCACCATAGCTAGCAAGCTGCTTTCGCTGCGTGACACAGCGTACCTTTGCCCAGGAAACAGCACGAACACGGACAACTCTCTCCTCAAGGCCAGGAAATCCATTTTGAGCTTCAAGCCAGTGCTGAAGGTGAGGTTTTTCAAACTTCCTGTTTGTCTTGGCTTCCCGGTCGTCCCTTGTTTGTTTGGTTGGCTTTTTGTTTTTGTTTCCGTTTTCTTTTTTCTTCTTCTGTTTTTTCTTTCCTTTTTTTCCATTCCAATTAACCCGTTTTGTCTGCTGATGGCAGGGTCCAAGTTCCTAAACATCTAGAGTGTGCGTTCTTGTGTTGTTATCTTGCATGCAGGTATTTCTAAGAGGCAATGCTTACGACAGTCCAGACATATACTTAAGCGGCTCAATACTCAAGCATAAATTTAAGGTGTGTGATTTTCAACCCCTTGTTAAATAGAAAGAGCCATGTTTTATTCCCCAGGTCGACTCTCTTGCGTCGCAATCAAGTGTACCGCTCCGAACCGAACTATACCAACGTTCAAATATTCATGACAACGTTCGATACTTGGGTGAAATTTGGTGTAATACGATGCAGTGCGGTCGAATTGATTGTGACCAGGGCTGATTTTATCAGGGTAAATACCCTGATTTCAGGGTGATTTCAGACTTGTCACTTGCTGGTCCCTGAGAAATCAGGTTTTTTGCATTTTGGTCCCTGATCCATTCAGAGTATTGCTTTAGCGGACCCTGAAATTTTGTGTACACTCTCAGTGTAGTGTTTTCACGGACCCTGTCAATACAGAGTTGGCGGCCTGTGGGCCCTGAATGCGATGTTATCGGGACGAAATTTCTCGGAAATTTCTTCATGATAACCTCGCCTTCTGATTGATCGCAGTACCCCCCACGTGCGTAATCCTCCCCCCCCCCCACCCCTCGCTTTATCGGGACGAAGTTCCTTCGAATTTTCGTTCCCATACACCCACCATCGAGATCTGGCGAATCTGATTGGTCGAAATAGTTGTGCTCTGACACAGCGCCAGTCACATCGCGAGTCACAGCGCCAATCACATCGCCACAGTGCTAGTCACATCGCCAGTCACACTGCAAGTCACAGCGCCAGTCACAGCGCCAGTCACAGCGCCAGTCACAGTCACCCTTGCTACACCAACAGCAGATTCGACCTTTGCTCTGTATTAGGAGATTCGATTCGCTAGGTCAAGGCAGATTCTGCCTGAAATCCCCGTAGACTGTCAGATTTCGAGCAGATGTTGCGATTATGCAGAGTGAGACTTCTTTCCCCGGTAAAGAAAGCGCGCGTTACTACGACTCTGACTTTCAATTCTCAACCCTGAACATTCAGAGTTCACTACTTCAGGGTAAATTTTTTTTTTTTTAAGGTTTAACTCAGGGTACCTAAATTTGAAACGTCAGCCCTGATTGTGACGCTAACTTTTGTGACATGTCAAGGCCCGAATGTTCCCTTAGTTGTTTGAACCTTCGCCCACTCGCACAAATATACTATGACAGCAGGCAGGAAGCCACCTGCATTTGCCATGTCGTATGTGTTAACCCCAAATTACCTTGAATGTTTCCGCTGCCTCGCCTTCATCCGTTCTGTTTTCAGATCACTACCAGCAGTGGAATATTGCTGGCTGAGGTCAGTCAGAACCTGTTGGATGCAAGGAAGTACTTTTTCTATGCGCAGACGTACTTCATTCGAATCATGTCAAATGTGGACATGGCGCTCATTCTTGCTCTTGTGGCGTTGGCGGATGCTCTGTTAGTGGACAAAGACGACTGAATTCCTCCTGAGGTACACCATGTTAAGATGCACATCCCTGTTTTCCCCACGTCTGGCATGCACATGCATGTAGTCTAGCCCTTGTACCCTTTTCTAATCACTTCTTTCTGGCCTAGAATGGACAAGACATCAATGGAATACCACCTGCAGAGTTATGAAATTTATGGTGCTGCTACCGTAGGAAATGGTTGCTTTTTGTCGTTTGGGTAAGACATTTGATTAAACTGTTGCATTGAATAACAATATATTTGAGAACACTTTGTCTTAGCTCACATGCAACCACACGATGCATCAACCAACACATCAGCATTGTCTGAATCTCACATGGTCGGGCGAGGAAACGAGGTCCTAGCTTTCTGCTTCTTCCTCCTCCCCTTGGTCCCCGTTGCTTTGTGCAAGAAGAGAATGGACCTGGTGTTGTCCCCACTAGCACTTGGAACATTGTCCTGTTCAATGATGGGGTTACGCAACAGTGGTAGCGGAAAGAATGAAAACGGTTTTGGCATCCCCTTGTCACAGACAAGCAATAACTAGGGCTGAAGTGGAATGAGAATGCTGGTAAGGGTGGCGGTGGAAAGAGAACAGCGGTGAGCTGCAGGAAGTGGATATATTACGGCATCTTGAAAAAAATAACATTTCACGCCTTACAGGCCAGGCAGGTACAAGTTGGGCTGCCCATTTCCCCTCGCCTCATACTCCTTACTGCATGCTTCGAGTGCCAACAGCTGCAGCGTTGGCAACACTCACCTGAAGCTCGTTATTGCATGCTTCGGTTGCCCACGGCTGCAGCAGTGACAGCACTTACCTCATACTCGTTATTGCGTGCTATGGATGGTGCTGCAGGAAGAAAAGCACCTTCTGAGGCAATTCGCTAGTCGCTTCGTGCTCATCTTCCTCTCCAGTTTGTTTGCTCACAACGGAACCGGCAGCTGGTGTAGAGAGTTTCAGCTTCAGTGACGGATAAAAGGAGAGGTGAGGACCGTGTGTGAGGGAGGAAAGTAGGGGAGTGCTGGGGAGGGAGAGTAGGGGATCGGAGGGGCGGTGGTAAGTGGGCAGAGGGAGGTGCAGCAGTCGGGGAAAACGGCATCAATGCGAGCTCGGATGGTGATGGATGCATGGCGGTCGAGAGGGGTGCGCTGAAGGCTGAATTACGATGTGGGCTGCTAGGTGAGGGAGCTTGTTGGGTGGTGGGACCTGAAGGGGAGTGGAGGGAACAATGGAGTAGGAGTGTGTGGCGGTTGAGAGGGGTGCGTTGGAGGAGGTTGACGATGACGATGCGGGTTGCTAATCGAGGGAGCGTGTTGGCTGGTGCCACCTGGTGGGGGTCAGGGGAACAAAGGAGAAAAGGGAGTAGGAGTGTTAACACGTGTGGCGATCGAGAGGGGTGCGCTGCATGTTGATGATCACCAGATCGGCTGCTAGGCGGGGGAGCTTGATGGCTGGTGGCACCTGGTGGGGTGAGTGAGGGGAGTTAGAGAGGGAGTCAGGGGGGAATGGCGTCAATGTTTGCTCAAATGGTGATGGGTGCATGGTGGTCGAGAGGGGGGCGCTGAAGGTTGATGATGTCGATGTGGGTAGATAAGCGGGGGAGCTTGGTGGGACCTGGTGGGTTGAGGGACGAAAAAGGAGAGTGTGACGATCCACTTGCGCTTCCTCAAAAGCCTCCTTTGCTTCCATCCTTCTCATGCTCTAGGCATTTCCTATGTACTGTGTCTCTCGCCTTGTGCTATGCATGATGCATGGTCATGCTTGATTGCAGTGGCTTGAAGCTGTGGCAGTCCAATAAGGCGGACCGTGAACCGACCTCCACCACTCAAACGCACCTTAAAGGAGGAGCCAAGGCAGAGCGCCACGTGTGCGCCCGTGCATGCTTCTCTCGCCTTCCTCAGCTCCTCATCGTCTATCCTCTCCCCAAAGTGCACTACCAACTCGCCCCCACACTCGGCCCCACCCTCGCGCCTATCCTCCCCTCCCTCGTCATCTTCCTCCTCCTCCGCTCCCATCTTCTCCTCTTCTTGCTCCTCGTTGGGTTCTCCCCTTTCCTCGCACTCTCTTGTTGTCACTTCATCCTCCTCCTCCTCTCCCAGTCTCCTTTCACCCCCCTCCTCGGCCATCCTTGCATCCTCGACGTCTCCCCAACTCTCGCCAATCACTCCACTGAAGCACCTCTTCGCACCCCCCTCGTTGTCCATCCTTGCATGACTCTTTTTATCCCCACTACTCTCCCCCTTTCCAATCACAACACCAGGAATTCCGTCAAGAATCTATAAGTTTGACTCTCCAGGTTCATGCCACTTCCTCCCCGCACCCACCTGTTCCTCCTGGTTCTCCTCTTTCACACTGCCCCCTCCTCCTGTGGACACCTGAGCTCGCACTTTTGCAGAACTTCTTGGCTTCCGAACAGGATTCCGAACAGATTTTCTAACAGAATTCTGAACACGTGGCGCTCTCAGCTGCTTGCCCTCCGCTTCCACCTCCTTCCCCTCCCTCTCGTTACACCTGGCTGATACATCAACATCAGCGTGAGCTGATTTAGCAGCACCAACACCACCACCACTGGCACATGCAGCAGCACCAGCGCCAGCACCAGCCACGGCGGTACAGAGCCTTCCAGTCTTGTGGCGGTGGTAGGAGGACCCTCTAGCCGGTACTTGGCTCCACACTCGCGGCATCTCTCCCGGTACACCGATCCATGCAGCTCAGATAGCCGGTCGGAGGAGATTCCATCTCTGGAGTAAAGGCAGTCCACTGGCAGAATAAGATTGGGAAGGGCAGATTGGAAAGGAGATCGGAAGCAGGAAGGGACAAAACGATAAGATGGAGCAGGTACTTGGAGGATAGTGAGAGGGAAGTGAGAGGGAAGTGAGAGGGAAGTGAGAGGGAAGTGAGAGGGAAGTGAGAGGGAAGTGAGAGGGAAGTGAGAGGGAAGTGAGAGGGAAGTGAGAGGGAAGTGAGAGGGAAGTGAGAGGGAAGTGAGAGGGAAGTGAGAGGGAAGTGAGAGGGAAGTGAGAGGGAAGTGAGAGGATAGTGAGAGGGAAGTGAGAGGGAAGTGAGAGGGAAGTGAGAGGATAGTGAGAGGGAAGTGAGAGGGAAGTGAGAGGGAAGTGAGAGGGAAGTAAAAGGGAAGTGAGAGGAAAGTGAGAGGGAAGTGAGAGGATAGTGAGAGGGAAGTGAGAGGATAGTGAGAGGGAAGTGAGAGGATAGTGAGAGGGAAGGTAGAGGGAAGTGAACGGGAAGTGAGAGGGAAGTGAAAGGGAAGTGAGTAAAGTGAGAGGAAAGAGAGACGGAAGTGAAAGGCAAGTGAGAGGGAAGTGAAAGGGAAGTAAGAGGAGTAAGAGGGAAGTGAGAGGGACCACGTTCCCACCCTTCTGCTGCAACCACCGTTCCGAGTCACCAGGTGCTCCACTATCCCAGCCCGCACGATCACCACCATCACGGCTGCCACCCCAGCTTGTGTTACAACATTGCCAGAGTAACTTCCAAACCCCAACCCACCGTTATGTGTCACCACGTGCTGAACTCTCCCAGCCCGCACCATCGCTGCCCCTGCAACACCCCATAGTTGTTAATCTGCTGCACCCCATAGTTCTGCTGCACCCACCGTTCTGTGTCACCACGTGCTGCACTACCCCAGCTCCCACCATCACTGCCACCGCCATTTGCCCCAGCGTGGGCAAAGCTTCCTTCCTCGTACTTTCTCCCCATGGCCACCGCAGCTTCCTCCCACCTTCCCTCCCCCTGCAGCGTCCACACGCCCTTAGGCCCTCGGAAATCCGGAATGCCCGCTGCTGTGCTCAGCCCCGCCCCACTGTGAACCACCACGCCCCCTCTCATTTTTTTCGCCCCTGCCTCTGCTTCTGCTTCTGCTTCTGCTTCTGCTTCTGCTTCTGCTTCTGCTTCTGCTGCAACTGCTTCTGCGCCTGCTGCATCCGCTGCTGCTGTTTGGCTGTTGTCCCCCGCTAGTCTGAATCGCTGGCACTCCAACACCAGCTGCAGAAGCTGCTGACTCTTCGCCTCTACTTGCTCCGGGGGGTCCTCCTCCTGTAGAACAAGGGGAGGGGGGGAGGGAGGGGGGAATGGGGTGAGAGGAGAGGGGGGAGGAGAGTGAGTGCGGAGGGGACTGCGGGTGGGGCACCTCAGGACTCTTCTGAAGAAGAGAAAATACATGTTCTAACTTTCCTTTGTGTCCTCCTGTGGGGCTAGCGGAAGAGGAAGGTGAGCGGGGGGCCATGGGGGAAGGCGGGTGAGCGTGGGGCCATGGGGGAAGGCGGGTGAGCGGGGGGGCATGGGGGCAAGGCGGGTGAGCGGGGGGCCATGGGGGAAGGCGGGTGAGCGGGGGGCCATGGGGGAAGGCGGGTGAGCGGGGGGCCATGGGGGAAGGCGGGTGAGCGGGGGGCCATGGGGGAAGGCGGGTGAGCGGGGGGGCATGGGGGAAGGCGGGTGAGCGGGGGGCCATGGGGGAAGGCGGGTGAGCGGGGGGGCATGGGGGCAAGGCGGGTGAGCGGGGGGGCATGGGGGAAAGCGGGTGAGCGGGGGGGCATGGGGGGAAGGCGGGTGAGCGGGGGAGCATGGGGGGAAGGCGGGTGAGCGGGGGGCCATGGGGGAAGGCGGGTGAGCGGGGGGGCATGGGGGAAGGCGGGTGAGCGGGGGGCCATGGGGGAAGGCGGGTGAGCGGGGGGCCATGGGGGAAGGCGGGTGAGCGGGGGGGCATGGGGGAAGGCGGGTGAGCGGGGGGCCATGGGGGAAGGCGGGTGAGCGGGGGGCCATGGGGGAAGGCGGGTGAGCGGGGGGCCATGGGGGAAGGCGGGTGAGCGGGGGGCCATGGGGGAAGGCGGGTGAGCGGGGGGCCATGGGGGAAGGCGGGTGAGCGGGGGGCCATGGGGGAAGGCGGGTGAGCGGGGGGCCATGGGGGAAGGCGGGTGAGCGGGGGGCCATGGGGGAAGGCGGGTGAGCGGGGGGCCATGGGGGAAGGCGGGTGAGCGGGGGGGCATGGGGGAAGGCGGGTGAGCGGGGGGCCATGGGGGAAGGCGGGTGAGCGGGGGGCCATGGGGGAAGGCGGGTGAGCGGGGGGGCATGGGGGAAGGCGGGTGAGCGGGGGGCCATGGGGGAAGGCGGGTGAGCGGGGGGCCATGGGGGAAGGCGGGTGAGCGGGGGGCCATGGGGGAAGGCGGGTGAGCGGGGGGCCATGGGGGAAGGCGGGTGAGCGGGGGGCCATGGGGGAAGGCGGGTGAGCGGGGGGCCATGGGGGAAGGCGGGTGAGCGGGGGGCCATGGGGGAAGGCGGGTGAGCGGGGGGCCATGGGGGAAGGCGGGTGAGCGGGGGGCCATGGGGGAAGGCGGGTGAGCGGGGGGCCATGGGGGAAGGCGGGTGAGCGGGGGGCCATGGGGGAAGGCGGGTGAGCGGGGGGCCATGGGGGAAGGCGGGTGAGCGGGGGGCCATGGGGGAAGGCGGGTGAGCGGGGGGCCATGGGGGAAGGCGGGTGAGCGGGGGGCCATGGGGGAAGGCGGGTGAGCGGGGGGCCATGGGGGAAGGCGGGTGAGCGGGGGGCCATGGGGGAAGGCGGGTGAGCGGGGGGCCATGGGGGAAGGCGGGTGAGCGGGGGGCCATGGGGGAAGGCGGGTGAGCGGGGGGCCATGGGGGAAGGCGGGTGAGCGGGGGGCCATGGGGGAAGGCGGGTGAGCGGGGGGCCATGGGGGAAGGCGGGTGAGCGGGGGGCCATGGGGGAAGGCGGGTGAGCGGGGGGCCATGGGGGAAGGCGGGTGAGCGGGGGGGCATGGGGGCAAGGCGGGTGAGCGGGGGGGCATGGGGGAAGGCGGGTGAGCGGGGGGCCATGGGGGAAGGCGGGTGAGCGGGGGGCCATGGGGGAAGGCGGGTGAGCGGGGGGCCATGGGGGAAGGCGGGTGAGCGGGGGGCCATGGGGGAAGGCGGGTGAGCGGGGGGCCATGGGGGAAGGCGGGTGAGCGGGGGGCCATGGGGGAAGGCGGGTGAGCGGGGGGCCATGGGGGAAGGCGGGTGAGCGGGGGGCCATGGGGGAAGGCGGGTGAGCGGGGGGCCATGGGGGAAGGCGGGTGAGCGGGGGGCCATGGGGGAAGGCGGGTGAGCGGGGGGACATGGGGGAAGGCGGGTGAGCGGGGGGGCATGGGGGCAAGGCGGGTGAGCGGGGGGCCATGGGGGAAGGCGGGTGAGCGGGGGGCCATGGGGGAAGGCGGGTGAGCGGGGGGCCATGGGGGAAGGCGGGTGAGCGGGGGGCCATGGGGGAAGGCGGGTGAGCGGGGGGCCATGGGGGAAGGCGGGTGAGCGGGGGGCCATGGGGGAAGGCGGGTGAGAGGGGGGGCATGGGGGCAAGGCGGGTGAGCGGGGGAGCATGGGGGGAAGGCGGGTGAGCGGGGGGCCATGGGGGGAGGACGGGTGAGCGGGGGGGCATGGGGGGAGGCGGGTGAGCGGGGGGGCATGGGGGGAGGCGGGTGAGCGGGGGGCCATGGGGGGAGGCGGGTGAGCGGGGGGCCATGGGGGGAGGCGGGTGGGCGGGGGGCCATGGGGGGAGGCGGGTGAGCGGGGGGCCATGGGGGAAGGCGGGTGAGCGGGGGGCCATGGGGGAAGGCGGGTGAGCGGGGGGCCATGGGGGAAGGCGGGTGAGCGGGGGGGCATGGGGGAAGGCGGGTGAGCGGGGGGCCATGGGGGAAGGCGGGTGAGCGGGGGGCCATGGGGGAAGGCGGGTGAGAGGGGGGGCATGGGGGCAAGGCGGGTGAGCGGGGGGGCATGGGGGAAAGGCGGGTGAGCGGGGGAGCATGGGGGGAAGGCGGGTGAGCGGGGGGCCATGGGGGGAGGACGGGTGAGCGGGGGGGCATGGGGGGAGGCGGGTGAGCGGGGGGGCATGGGGGGAGGCGGGTGAGCGGGGGGCCATGGGGGGAGGCGGGTGAGCGGGGGGCCATGGGGGGAGGCGGGTGGGCGGGGGGCCATGGGGGGAGGCGGGTGAGCGGGGGGCCATGGGGGAAGGCGGGTGAGCGGGGGGCCATGGGGGAAGGCGGGTGAGCGGGGGGCCATGGGGGAAGGCGGGTGAGCGGGGGGGCATGGGGGCAAGGCGGGTGAGCGGGGGGGCATGGGGGGAAGGCGGGTGAGCGGGGGAGCATGGGGGGAAGGCGGGTGAGCGGGGGGCCATGGGGGGAGGACGGGTGAGCGGGGGGGCATGGGGGGAGGCGGGTGAGCGGGGGGGCATGGGGGGAGGCGGGTGAGCGGGGGGCCATGGGGGGAGGCGGGTGAGCGGGGGGCCATGGGGGGAGGCGGGTGGGCGGGGGGCCATGGGGGGAGGCGGGTGGGCGGGGGGCCATGGGGGGAGGCGGGTGAGCGGGAGAGTAGACTTGTGGCGCCTCAAAAGAGCTAGAGAAATGTCCTCTTCACTTGCTCAGGGCGATCCTCCTCCTCTGGGGATGGGGTAACGGGGATGGCCCGGATGGGGGATGGCCCGGATGGGGGATGGCCTGGGTGGGGGATGGCCTGGGTGGGGGATGGCCTGGGTGGGGGAGAGCCTGGGTGGGGGAGAGCCTGGGTGGGGGAGAGCCTGGAAGGTGAAGGGGGGTATAGGGCGTGGGGAGTGGAGGGGAGAGAGGGTGCTGACGGGGGAAAGTGGGGCGGACGGATCTTGAGTCGACTCTATAGTGGAAGGTGCAGGGGAAGAGAGGGCTGTTTTTTTAGTCGACTCAAAGTGGGAGTGGAGAGGAGAAGAGGGCCGATGGGGGAAAGCGAGGCGGAGGGGGCTTAAGGGGCTGTGCGGTGAGCCAAGGACGCAACCACCACCCTCCACGCGCATCCTGTAGCTCTTCCCATTCACACAACCACAATCCCCCCTTCTCAACCCCACCACCCCCCTCTGGGTCAGCACCACCACAAGCACCCTCGTCGGTAAAAAGAGTTGAGATGCCCCGAAGCAATTATCTACCCTGAAAGATAGCAGCTGTTGACAGTTCGAAGCGGAAAAGAAACAAACTAACCTCTTGCAACCGCTCTTTCTTCTGCTGCTGCCGCTCCTTCGGTTTCTCCAACGACTGAGAGATCTGCAAGTACGTAACAAGAAAGCACACTGCACCAGAATGTTTCTGACCCAAACCTGACCAGGACACTAATCTGGCCCAAAGCTAACCTGGAAGTCACCCCAAAGCTACTGGCAGTGCAACAAGTTGACGTTTCTGCGAAGCACAGCACAGCGCAACAAGCCAGCTGACGTTATTTTGATTATTATGATTAAATTGACTCGAAACATTTTCTCCAATGCGTGAGATGAGAAAACCGCAGCGCACAGGACACCCCCAGCCTCCTCCCCGTCCCCCTTCCCTCCGCTTTCCCCACCCTACAGCAGCAACTGCCAATGCGACATGTGGCGAAAGCTCGTTGCATTGGCGAATGCTCGAGCGACGGCATGCGACACCATGTGACGCCATGCGACCTCGCGTGCGATTTGACAGTTGGTTTCCAGCAGGCGACTCTCCTCGCCGCTCCTCGAGCTCTCCGCCTTACCCAGCGCCGCGCGCACCGCCTTCCGCACGCGCCGCTCCTCCGCCTCCGCTACCGACTTACGCCGCCCATTCCCGCTTCCGCTTCTCGCGCTCGCTCCATTGACGGTTTGCAGTCGGCTAGCAGTCAAGTAGCAGTCAGTTAGCTAGCAGTCGCTCCTTCGCCTCCGCTAGCGACTTCTCCGCCATTTCCGCTTTCGCGCTCGCTCTCCATTGGCGGTTCGCAGTCGGTTCGCACTCGGCTGGCAGTCAGATAGCAGTCGGCTGGCAGTCGGTTAGCAGTCAGTTAGCAGTCGGTTTTCTAACCCTGCGATCGTTGGAGGGGTTGAGACTTATATCGCATAAGATTCAAATTTTTGAAATACACCAAAGCCAACTCTCGTCCGTGTCGCGTCTTGCACTGACACCAAGAACCGTTGGTGGGTTTACGACGTCGGCGAAAACTGTGAGTGCCTTACAAAGAAAACAAGCAACCAGTCGCACCTGAAAAATGTCCGCATCCTTTGTTGCGACACTTCTCTTTCGCAGTATGATGTCGTGAGTGCGAGGCTCTCGCAACCCATCCAAACCTACCTTCCAAAGCTATAATTTCTCGCTTTGACTTCGGTAACCTTGTTGATGCTTTGACTTACCCTTTCAGGAAAAGTCGCTGGGAGCTTTTCCACGAATCGGAATGCTGCTACCCTTTCTTCTCCTCCCCGTAAGCATCCTTGAACCACATTGGTGCTGTACAGTCAGATGGGTTGATTTGCCAGTCATCCATGAAAATATATGACACAGCATGGGGACCTCCGTCCGCCAGGCACGATGTGCAGGCATGTGCTGACTGGACATGGGTGGTGGAGGCTTGATTGGGTTCAAGAAATGCTCTTCGCGCAAGTTGGTTCCAGAGGAGGGGTGTGTGGAATCACGACGAATGTCGTCACCGGTCTCGCGAGGGGTGTGCGAAATCGTGTAGGAGGTAACACAATGACGTGTCATTGCGACATCCGTCGGATCGAAAAATTGATAGCATGGAGCGCAGGTGGTTACACGAGAAGCATTTCGCAGCGGTTTTTCTGCCTATGTAAATACCAACCCCCCTTTTCATCCTCCATCAAACCCCCTCCCCTGGCTGCCGAACATCGCCTAACTGCTGTCTAGGTCTCTGAAAGTCGTTACAGGTTTACATTCGAATATTCAAGTTATCGGCTGATTACTCTAGGCATCCTTCAACATCCTCACCTCACAGAGCTCCCCTTCCCAGCCCGTCGGCGTGTAGGGTGACAATCCCAGCTCTTTTTTTCCGATGTCCTTCGACGGATGTCAAGCAAATCATGTCGATGGCCACGCTATGCGTGTGCATCATTCAAAAACTGCCAGCTCTCCGCAATGTCAGCATCAAATCATGTTTTCAGAGTTGCTACATCCGTTCGAAATGCGACTCGGACGCCGAAGTCCTCACAGCAGACCAGCACGTGACGTGATATTCACCACTCTCATATTCACCAGACGTACTTCTAGTACCAGCAGATTTTAGAGCAGCCAGACTAAGAAATTCGCATTCGTTCGAAGCCTTTGTTTCCCTCGCCCATTTCTCTTTCTCGATGGAAACTCTTCCAGCTCCGTCTCAACCGTATGCGGTCGTGGGGCCGCAGTATTGCTTACCGTACGAGACCATGCTTGAAATGAAGGAAAACTTTTTCACGATTACGAGTAAAAAGGAGGTTCGAGATACGAACAAAAATCTGCACTTCACTATCGCGAACAGGTAAAAAAATATCCAATCTTTACCTCATTATGCCGTCCTGGCGCATGATCATATGCCTAAGTTTCCTCCCGTCTGGATGATTCAATCAACACACGTGTCCTTGCTTTTCAACTCCCACCCACCAGGCTGTTTTCTGTTCCCAGCAAGGTCGAGATTCTGGACGCTGCAGGAGGACCAGTGTGCATGCTAGTAAGCAAGGTGTTCACGATTCACAACACCACCTACCTCTGCCCGGGAAAAAGCACAGACACCGAGGGTCACTTGCTAAGGGCTAGGAAACTCATCTTCACCATTGTCCCCGTTCTTGAGGTGCGCTCACTACCAAAATTTCCTGCCTCATTTCTCTCAGTTCAATCTTCCAATTTTGTTGTTGTTAACGGTTTCACTCATTTTACTCTCTTGCAGGTTTACTTACGGGGAAACAATTCAGACAACCCGGACATTACCTTATCTGGCTCAATTCTCAACTATGATTTCAAAGTTAGTTTCTGCCAACCCAAACCCTTCTTTCCCATGGCTCCCCTCCTTTTCTTCCACTCCCATCATTGCAAAATGAACATTGCTTTATCCCTTTTGTCATAACCACTGATGTGTTTCATTCTGCCTTCCACTTGAAACCCGAAACCCGACTATTGATATGCCAGATCACCACCAGAAGTGGCATGCTTTTGGCTGAAGTAGGTCGTGACTTGATGAATTTAGAATTTACTAACCAGTCATACTATGTGCGAATCTTGCCGAATGTGGACATGGCGATGGTTCTAGCTCTGGTTGTTTTGGCGGTCACTATGTTTGTTCACCACGAAGGGTCCGACACTCAAAGTACTGGCGGCGTTCGCGGTCACTGCACAGTGACATTCTGAGACTACTCTGAGAGATTTTGCTAGGATGCGAGTGTTGTGCTAGCGTTTTGGTAGAGTTCTTCAGTAGCTTTTTACTATGCATAAGAGTCAATTATTATGATGTCAAATACAAAGAAATACCTCTTTAGGCAAATGAGAATTCACATACTGTAGGTGTACCCACCCACTCGGACATGTGCCTTGAGGGTAGGTGAACGCACTTCGTCGCAAGCCCAACTTATCTCAGCGAGTAGTTCCTACCGTGCACATAACTTGACCAAACACTACTTGAGAGAGGCATGCTCCTCATGGCAGCACATCAGTGGCAGCGTCCGTACAGGTCGCAAGCCGCTCGTGTCCATGAAACGTGGTGGTGACAACCTAGTCTTGAAAGTGGCCAACACCCACCAAGTTCCTGGAGAACGAGGGAATATGCAGACTGGTAAAGGAGCCGGAGCGGAGGGGGCTGCTGGACACGGGAGCGTAGTGGCACTGTGCGCAACGACCGGTCCAGAGGAGGTGTCGGCCAGTGCAACAACGACGGGGGCTCGAAGAGGCGTAAGGCTGGCACGGTCGCGTAAGAAGCACTGAGAGGCGCCAGAGTCGGGAACGGCGGCCGCTGAGGTCACACCTGTACAAGTAAATAGTAGAAGATCCTAGACATGCATCAGAAGATCCTACAAGTGTATCAGCTACATATCCTAGACTAGAAGAGAAGCATACGAATACATACTAGGGTCCAGCAACACTAAAATATGTCGAAACAGCAGGCTAAAACGATAAACACGAAAGAGGGTTTTCACTAGCATGCAGTTGAGTACATATAGCAAACCCTAATTCGGGCTGTACTCTCTACAGAGTACCCCACCCACTGCAGGCTACACAAACATCACATTCTGACACACCCCCATAGTCAAAGTGGGGTACAATCAACACAGCAAGCAGTCATAGAGCAATAGTTCACAATGATAAGCAAAGCTAGAGGCAGTCACAGAGGGCAAGTGAGGAGGAGGAGAGACTGTGAGAGGAGTGAAGATAGAAGGCGTCGAGTGAAGCCGCAGATACACGGGCAACAGGAACGGCGCGCACGGTGGCTACCGGAGCACTCAACCTTCGGACTACAGGAGTAAATGGCTCCGCGCTAAGCAGCAGCAGGAGCAACAGACCCACGGGCGACTGGCAGCAGCAGGCTCGCTGGGCTACCGGAGTACTCAACCCCCGGACTACTGGCGCTGCAGACGTCACAACGGCCACCTCCTGTCAACCTCCCCCAACTGTCCCACACCCCTTTCACACACTCCCTGCTGAACCACTAGCACCGCTCACATGCCACCCCCCTCGTACCACTCCGACGGCTCCAACACATCCACCCCCCTCAGCGGCAGCTGCAGCAGTGGGAGACGGAGGAGGAGGAGGAGCAGGGGACGGCTCACACACCCGGCACCCCCATACTCTCCACCCCCAAACCCTAACACAGGAGCGCGGGCAGCAGCGGGGGTGGGGCGCGGTCAGAAGCTCGGGACGAACCGCACGCGGGCTGCCCGGGCCGCGCGCGGGCTGTACGGGCCGCGCGCGGGCCTGGCGCAGGTCGCGCGGGCCGCGTCGGGCGACGGGGGGCGACGCGACGGTCGACGGGGCAGAAAACCGCCGCGCGTCCCGAGCGCGCGGCGGGATGAAAAATCGCCGCGCGCCCGGAGCGCGCGGCAGGCAGGGGACAGCAGGAAACCGCAGCGGAAGCATTGGGCGGGACCACCCACAGGATCGACCCAGGAGGTTCGACCTGCTCTGATAGCATGTCGAAACAGCAGGCTAAAACGATAAATACGAAAGAGGGTTTTCACTAGCATGCAGTTGAGTACATATAGCAAACCCTAATTCGGGCTGTACTCTCTACAGAGTACCCCACTGCAGGCTACACAAACATCACATTCTGACAAAATAATGAGCATACATAGCAGTAGAAACATCATCGCTCATAGTGAAAACATGCACATTACTACACCAAAGGGAGTAGCAGACGGCAACAGACGGTAGAGGTCGTCGATGCGGCGGAAGTTGCGGGCCGAAGAGTGGTCAAGGCGGCCGCGGAACTAGCTAGCGTCACGACCAAACTGAAGACGGTAATGGCACGGCCTGACGTTACACCGGCTTTGGTTGTCGCAGTGCATGCGAAAGGTCAGCGAAGTTTGTGAATTTTCACCTCCTGCAGGAGCTCCTGTAGATAGAGCCCTTAGCGAAGTGATGCTGTCGCGGCGATGCATTTTGCTTCCGCCGATGACAGGGCAACCAGTTCCTGCTTCTGCGAGTTCCATGAGATGGGCCATGTTGGCTCGAGTTGGAATAGGAACCTGATCTCTCCTACCATCGCGAGCCAGCTGGCTCAGTACTCACGCAAACCAACAGTTGAGAATCTTCTGGATCTTCAGCGCGCACTACATTTCTTCATCTCAACGCCAAACATTGGGCTCTGCTACTCCACATTCACAACTCCCTCTTTCAACCTTGTCGGCTATGTGGATGTCGATCACGCCGCGTCTGTGCAAAAATGCGCGAGGTTGAGTCGCTCGTAGAAAATAACGTCGCGCGCGTGTGTCACTTTGCTGCTGAGCAGGTCGAGGACGATCCGGACTTTGTGTTCGTAGCTGATGCCGAGATGAACGCCCCAGCGCGCGTGGCTCGTGAACTTCTCGATGGTTGAGGTAGGGGGCCGGTACTGCACCATACACCCCCAGACGCGGTGAATGGAGGTGTCCCCCTTCTTGCCTGTCCACTTCACATGTGGCGATAGGTTGCCGGTGTCAAATTATATGTATGCTATATATGTTTAGGCTGTAGTGGGGTAGCCAATATGGGGTACAGCCCCTGTTAGGGTTTCATACTTGTACCCAACACTTTCCTAGTTGATTCATTGCTGCCTAGCATTTCAGACATGGTATCAGAGCAGTAGGTCCGTAGGACCGTCTTAGTTCGGGCCCACCTACCGTTGCGGTTACCACGCTGCCCCACCTGCCTTGCCTGCCTTGCCTGCGCTGCGCCTCAAGCGCGCGCCCTGCCTTGCCTGCGCTGCGCTGCCCGCGCGCGCTGCCCTTTTTTTTTCCCGCGCGCGCCACTCTAGCAGCCCGCGCAGCTCACTGCTGCCCCGCGCGCCGCGTCTGCCGCCCGCGCAGCTCGCTGCTGCCCCGCGCGCCGCGTCTGCCGCCCACGCAGCCAACTGCTGCCCCGCGCGTCGCGTCCGCCGCCCGCTGCTGCCCCGCGCGTCGCCTCCGCCGGTCGCGCAGCCCGCAACTGCTCCGCGCGCCGCCTTAGGAGCCAGCGCGCGGCCCACTGCTGCACCGCGCGCCGCCTTAGGAGCTCGCGCGCGGCTCGCTGCTGCCCCGCGCGCCGCCTTAGGGGCCAGCGCGCGGCCCGCTACTTCCCCGCACGCCGCCTTAGGAGCCTGCGCGCGGCCCGCTGCTGTGCCGTGCGCCGCCCTAGCCACTTGCGCGCCGCCCCTGCAGCTCGTGCGCCGCCACTGCGGCCTTCCACGCAGTTTCTCCTGGCCTGCACTCTGCCTTGCCGCCTGCGCGCTACTCTTGCCTGCACTGCAATCATGGCGACGCTTAACGTTCTTGCTTTCGATCCTGACGGTCCGATAGAGTTTACCACCTGGCTCGACGACCTGCAACTGTTTCTTCTGACTGATGCCAAGGACGGTGTTTCACTGTTCGATTACGCGTCCGGCACTGCCGTTGCTCCTGCTGACACTGCTCCTGCTCTCGACCGCTCACAGTGGCAGACCCGCGATGCTGCTGCGCGCCTTGCTATTCGCAACCATCTGCCGATCACAGAGCGCGCGCATTTTAGCCAGCACAAGACTGCCAAGGCACTGTACGACGCTGTAGTTGCCCGCTACTCTTCCCCGGCCACTGCAGCCCTAGGTCGCCTTATGCTACCCTACCTGTTCCCCGACCTGTCCTCGTTCACCACTGCTGAGGACCTCATCTCTCACTTGCGCACTAGCGACGCTCGCTTTCGTACTGCCCTCTCAGACGAGTTCCTCGCCCAGAATCAACCCCCGATGTACTTTACTCTCTACTTCCTAGTCACCCGCCTCCCTGACACTCTTCGTTCCGTCAGGGACCACTTTCTCGCGCTAGACCCTACCGCTCTCACTGTCGACGACTTCGAGAAGCACCTCCTAGGAGCAGAAAAGAACATTCTCGCTGTAGGTGCTGCTCGTGGCACTCCTCGCACTCCCCTCTTTGAGGGGTGCTCCCCCTCCCCTCTTGCCCCCTCCTACGCCTCCGCTGCTGCTGCTCTCGACTACCTTGGTGCTGAGGAGGTCGGGGCTGCTTCCGCTCCTAGTGGGAAGCGCCGCAGTGCCAGGAACGGCAAGGGTGGCAGGGGGGGTGGGGGTGGCGGTGGAGGGGGCGGTGGTGGAGGCGGCGGAGGAGGTGGAGGTGGTGGGGGTGGTCGTGGGGGTGGAGGTGGTGGTGGGGGCGGCGGTGGCACTGGGAGCGGTGGGGGTGGCAGCGGCGGTAGTGGGGGAGGAGGGAGCGGTGGTGGCAGCGGCGATGGGGGCTGGAGTGGATCCGGCCAGAAGGGAAGCTCCACTGGTGGCCAGGGACAGCAGCAGCAGCAGCAGCCGCCACAGCAGCA